CCTCCTCTCTCCTCCTCCTCCGGTTATTGGAATACCTTCTCTCATGCTCACAGTCATTCAGGTTTGTCGCCCTCCCCTCCTCCACCTTCGACTGGACTCGACGAGATGGGGTGAAAGAGATCCCAATCGAATCTCGAAACGAGAACGAGGTCTCCTCCTCCTCCTCTTCCTCCTCCTCTTCCTCCTCCTCTTCCTCCTCCTCTTCCTCCTCCTCGTTTTTCTTTTTCCCCAATCTCCACCATTGGTCTTCGTTCTCGTCCTCATCTCCTGCCATTTCCTCCCTCCCCTTCCTCCTCTTCTACCGCGGCCTCTCTCTCCCTCCTGCTGACTTCCTTCAGGTCAAATTCATCCAGGGGCTGCACCAAGAAAGCGGCAAAGTCCTCGAAGTCCTCCTCTGCCCAGCTGAGAGTCCAGCTGGTATTCCACCTGTCGTCTCACCTGCTCTCACTGATGCTGGTTTCAGCCAACTATGCCTTCGACGTGACTCCTGCTCGACTGCTGTCGGGCTTGATCACCGAGGTGAGAAGAGGGAGAGAGGAGGAAGGAGGAGGAGAAGGAGGGGAAGGAGGAGAAGGAGTGGGGGGGAGAAAGCATGAGGAGGAGGAGGAGGAGGAGGAGGAGGAGGAGGAGTAAGAGGAGCAAGGAGGAAAAGAAGGAGGAGGAGGCGGAAGCGGTGGAGGAGGAGGAGGAGGAGATGGGGGAGGAGGAATGTTGTTGGAGGGCAAATCAGATTTTCTGGATGGAAATCAGAATGGCGGGAGGAGGAGCAGGAGAGAGGGGAGAAGATGATTTGATTTCTCGCAGCGTGGAGTTTGCCGTGCAGAGGAGCAAAGTATTCTTGAGCTCTTTCCTGAGAAGAAATGAATGGAAGGAGTGCTTCATCACAGACTGTTACTTGTTTCTACCTCTCTATACAACATATATTCGGCCTTTCTCAAATGACATGGCGTTACATTCTCCTTACATGACAAATGTTCTTGTCATGACATCTACTTTGCTCTTTCCTTGACCCACCCACGTCGTCATGCTCTTCAAACTTGCTAGAATCTCGTCCTCTGTCTTGATCTTGACCTCAAATTTGCTTCGCTAATACACATGTGAGAGGAAACAAGAAGGCGGGAAGGGAGGATGGGAAGAGGGAAAGGGAGTAGAATGCGCACGAGGAGGAGGAGGAGACAAAAGGGAGAAGGTGGACGAAAAGTAGAGAGATGCATCCGAGGGGGAGAGGTTGCAAGATTAGGACAGGAGGGAAACAAGGAGAGGAGGGAGGAGGGGGTGAAAGACGAAGGATGGGGGAGTAGCAGCAGGTGGAGGGTTGTTGTTGTGGTGGTGGAGGAGGAGAATGGAAGAAACGAGCAACAAGAAGTTTGAGGTAGAGGGAAGGTCTTACTGGAGGGAGGAGGGAGGAGACGTTGATGATGTCAGTCTCCTCAAAGGACTTGGTCCACGGGTGCGCGAGAGCATCAGCAGCAGAAATTCTCTTGCTTGGAGCAATCTGAATGCAGTTGAGAGAGGAGAGAGGAGAGAGGAGAGAGGAGAGAGGAGAGAGGAGAGAGGAGAGAGGAGAGAGGAGAGAGGAGAGAGGAGAGAGGAGAGAGGAGAGAGGAGAGAGGAGAGAGGAGAGAGGAGAGAGGAGAGAGGAGAGAGGAGAGAGGAGAGAGGAGAGAGGAGAGAGGAGAGCAGGGAAGGAAAGGGGAGGGAACGAGGGAAGGGAAGGGAAGGGAAGGGAAGGGAATGCAGGAGGGCAGAGGCGGGAGAAGGGGAGGAGGAGGTTTAGGGGAGGGGAGGGAAAAGGAGGAGCAGAAAACCTCGAGCAATTTCGAGAGGAGGTCGAGAAGCGATGGAGGGGCAGAGCAGAACAACAAGTTGAAGTTCTTCTGTAAGGAGAGAAGAAAAATCAAAAAAGGTTTTCCTGATAATGTTTATGAGGATGTTTATGATGATGACGATGATGATGATGATGAGAGGAAATCGAATCAGCTCACCTTTGGCATGTGCGAGAAAGCAATCTTATCATAATCAGGAAGTTGTACAACTTGGGGCCAATCTTCCATCCAGACGTCGGGAGTTCCCAAGACATGAAAGATTTTGTACATCTCAACAGACCTCTCAGATTTTGATGTTGGGCAGTGCAAACCGTTTACCTGATCGATGTCGGTCTCTCCGGGGAACAGAGGAGACAGGTTGAAGAGCTCTGCAATGATGCAGCCAGCAGACCAGATGTCGACCTGTGCAAAGCATCATGAACATCGTCAACTCACGTATCATCATCTTCTCGTTCCTGTCGTTCGTCTTGTTCATCTTCTCTATCATCATCAAGACATCATCATCATCATCATCATCATCATCATCATCATCATCATCATCATCATCGTCATCGTTTCCCATCACTACTCTTATACTCGTTTCCTTCGCTTCCACTTCCTCCTCCCATCACCTCTTTCCCGTACGTGTTGGCGGCATACAACATCTCTGGCGCCCTGTACCATCTCGTGGCAGCCTGCAGATAGTCAACGTGAAGGTGCAGAGAGGAATGACAGAAGGGCGGCAAGAAAGTTATGAAGCAGGGAGACAAGGAGAGGAGAGGAGAGGAGAGGAGAGGAGAGGAGAGGAGAGGAGAGGAGAGGAGAGGAGAGGAGAGGAGAGGAGAGACTGGAAGGAAGGAGAGGAGCGTAGAGGCGAGGAGCGTAGAGGAGCGGAGCGGAGGGGAGCGGAGCAGAGAGGAGAGGAGAGGAGGGGAGGGAGGGGAGCGGAGAGGCGAGGAGCGTAGAGGAGAGGAGAGGAGAGGAGAGGAGAGGAGAGGAGAGGAGAGAATAGGAGACGATATGATATGATATGAGTTGGGATGAGATGCTTACCTGGAAAGAGTATCCTTCTCCTGCCTTGGCCATCAGTCTCGCAAGACCGAAGTCCCCGAGCTTCACGACGCCATGCTGGCTGACGAGGACGTTCCCTGGCTTGAGATCGCGATGGAGGAGGTCGAGAGAGTGAAGATGTGCCAACCCTCCCAGCATGCCCTTGCTCAGCCTCCACTGGAGGAGGAGAGGAAGGGGCTGCTGCTGACGGCTGATCACGTCATGCAGCGAGCATCGCATGCACTCCATGACAAGTACGACGGTGGCGCCATGCACGATCACGTCCAGGAGCCGAACGACATTGTGATGCTCGCCATGCTGCATGGCCTTTATTTCGCGCCATATCCCCACAGACAGTCCCTCCTCTCCTCTCCTCACTGGGACTTTCTTGAGCGCTACCTGCTGTCCATCGCGCTTGTCCTGAGCTCTGTAGACCTCCCCGAACGACCCCCCGCCCACTCGTTCATGCACGACAAACTGATTCATGGCAGAGCATGGAGGGGAGGATTGGTGGAAGCAGGGGGAGAGGGAGAGAGGAGAGGGAGAAAGGACGGAGAGGAGGTAGCTGTGCTGTGAAGAGGAGGGAGGGGAGGGGAGGGGAGGGGAGGGGAGGGGAGGGGAGGGGAGGGGAGGGGAAGGGGGAGGGGAGGGTAGGGGAGGGAGGACGGGTT